TTCTTAGAATGTCAAGCAGTGAGCCTACGTTTAGGTTGCATGTGTGTAAACAAACAGATATACTGCAAATTGCCAGTAAGCGCCCCGTGACCTGACACAAAGAGGATTTCCACTCAGAGACTTCAGGTGTACAAAGCAATACAGTAAGTGATTATTTATTTATTTATTTATTAGTCAAGGCTGAATGTTCAATTTAGTCATTCTGACAGATGCAAATGTTTGCCTTTGTTGTAACTAGGATGCTAATCCTGTTCTGCTCCTTAGAAGTTTAGAAATATGTAGAGATATGAAATATTGGCTGTCAGGGAGCCAAATTACTCATTAAAGAGGAGATCCATAGCTGGGGGCTTGTATCTGGATTATTATTTTTAACGCCATAGAACAATTTCTGAAATGTATTTATTAATCTCTTGCTTTTCACCCAAAGATCTCAAGAATTCCCCAATCCACTGCCTCCCACCTTTGCCATTTATATTCTCATCACATGTGTGTGCGTGCAGATTTTTATTGGGAAAATGAGATGGTGGTAAAACCTAGCCCCCCTTACTTTGCTCACTCCTTTCTCAAGGAATCTGGCAGTCCACTCCCAGCTGCATTTCATTTTTTGTTTAAACACAAAATCTGTCATGAATTTTCTGTATGAAGGTTTTTGACTTCCAGTAAAATACAGAATCACAGCAGAAATAAGCCAAGCCAATAATCAACACCATTGGACAGAATTTAACGAGCTTTGTACCTGTTAGCCAATGAAATGACTCTGTTAGTCGCATCAGCCTCTTGCTGGCACTTGATTTTTTCAGCAGTGGCTTTTTCAAACTCAGCAGTTAGATTGGCCAAGTTGGCATTTAGATCCTTGAAAGCGATAAGTTTGCAGTTACTTTTATGACAATCCTTAAGGCTTGCTCAGTCTAGAAGAGAGGTGGGGAACTAGCTTGTGGCTTAAGGGACACATCGGGCCCATTGTACTGGCTCTCAGATTTGGGACAACACCTCTCTCCATCTCAAAGCCCTACTCCTTCAGAAGGTAAATTGGTTAAGAAAGCAACTACCCTCTGCAACCGTGAGGCTGGGACTCCGTTGCTTTGTTCTTCCTTGCATGGAGAAGGTCAAAGAAGGCCATACCCTTCCCAAGGACACAGGCACTTCAAAATGATGTTCCCTCCACTTCTTCTCTTTTTTCCCCCTACCCAGGAAAAGTGAGGATGCAGTAAAAATGGCTGCATGCATGACAAGCACTTCCAGGCATTTCCCTCCCTGTTCCCAAAAAATTAATATTAAAAGAAAATAAGAGAGTGAGGGAAAAAGTTAATAGGTTTCTATAAATGTACATAAAAAGCAAAAGAGTGTGCTCCATTTCTTAACTTCTCATTTCAATACATAACAAATTTATTGCCCATCTCTCATAAAGAGTATGCATACCTTGCAAATAATTTATTTGCATCCTCATTTCCAAGCATTTTCTGAGGGCCAAACTATACACGGCACAGGCACAGTAATTAGAAGCTCAAGCTCATTGCTGTTCCAGAGACCTGATTCAGGCAGATATTCCATGACCAGGTGGCAAACCAATTGTTACCAGCAAAGTCATCATTGGCAGATGGAATCATATCATTTATTTGAGCACATTGATTTGTGTCTGGGAAATCAGATTATAAATGATTTAAATGCCGGAGGCCAGGTGGAAAACAAAACCAAGCTAACTTACAAACTGCAGCAGGTGTGAAAAGCTCCTGCTGTGACAACCGCTCAGCTTTCAGCACTTAAGGAAAACTCTCTTCCAACAGCTGCCACCTATAATGCATAGTCTGGCCCTGAATCCTTGGATGGAAACTTAGCGGGCGGTTGAGTCACTTTGGCTCCTCCAGCATTTCCCCTCAAAGGAAGAAAACGTTGTCCTAACCAAGGTGCTGTCTAGATTGGGGCTTCAATTGGGGAGGCCATTTCACTTCCTGTGGGCCTCCTTCAACTGCGGGAGCTTGCAAGAATGCAACCACTCCCCGAATGTCATGCCAGATGGAAGAATTCCACCCACCTCTTTGGACAGGAGCTAGAAGACTTGAGGGGCAGGGCTGCTGGAGGAGTTGGAGTTTGTCTCCTCCAAAGTGTTGGATATATTATTTATAACCTTGCGTGCGATAACTGCAAGGAAGGAGGGAACGGTTAAATAATAAGAACCGTCTATTCTATTTTAGCCACTCTATGGCATGTAAGACTCCTTCCCACTTCTCTGTCTCCATCCCCTGTGTTGGATGGAGCAAGGAGGTTGACAGATGAGCTTCTGGAGTTGTTTCTCCTGCAAAGATGCCTCACCAGATGAGCAATAAGTTAACTAGTTGAGCCAAGGTCGAAACTAAATGTGTTTCTATATATGCAAGCAGACTAGTAAAAAATAACCTTGTTTTGCTCTTACCGTAAACTGAGAAAGACCTTTGCTTCAGCTATCCAATACTGCCTTTAACTGGCCATGTAGGGCAGTTGCTACGTACACACACTTCCAACTAATTTTGCTAGTTTTATCAAATCCCCACAAAGTTCCCTGTCCCTACTATAGTTCAACAGATGCACTTCCTGTTGCTTGCAGTGGGGCAATGCTGAACAAGCTGTGTCCCAAAACCATGCCTACAAGCACCCGGTTTTCCACTGTGGGAGACACAGTATTGCACTAAAAGGAGCTTCATCCAGATCCGGCAGAGCTCTTCTTTCATCTAAAGAGTTCAGCTGTCACATCTGTCCTGAGCTGTCCTGACTGGCTCATGCATCAGGAGTTCAGCTGTCACATCTGTCCTGAGCTGGGGGCTTCCTGGCTCACAGATGACATGAATGGCTCATGCATCACAATACTGCCTTTAACCGGCCATGTAGGGCAGTTGCTACGTACACATACTTCCAACTAATTTTGCTAGTTTTATCAAATCCCCACAAAGTTCCCTGTCCCTACTATAGTTCAACAGATGCACTTCCTGTTGCTTGCAGTGGGGCAATGCTGAACAAGCTGTGTCCCAAAACCATGCCTACAAGCACCCGGTTTTCCACTGTGGGAGACACAGTATTGCACTAAAGGGAGCTTCATCCAGATCCGGCAGAGCTCTTCTTTCATCTAAAGAGTTCAGCTGTCACATCTGTCCTGAGCTGTCCTGACTGGCTCATGCATCAGCTCTCAATTTGCATAGACATAGGGAAATGTCACTTGTGACTTAATTTGCTAGTCCCATCTAAATAATTGATTTGTTCGCTGAGTGCCAATGGCAAATGCCAACCTGTCAGAACAGGGGTATTTACTTGGATAGGATGCCGAGGGCTTTGGCAGCTTATCAAAGGGAGGTTATGGTGTACTTACTGCAATCTTGTTTTTAATCATTGTGAGTTTTGCCTGTGCCTCTGCCAGTTCCTGATTAGCTTCTTCCAGGGCCTGCCGCTTGGGTGCAACATCGCAATAGACCTCGTAGAAGCGAACAATGTTGAGGCACCAAGAACACAAACCAGCCGCAGCTGTGGACTTAGACAATATAAACTCTGGATCAAAAGTTGGATCATTTTGGAATGGCCTGCACAGAGAAGATTACAAAGGGGTGTTACACCGGAGGAAGCCAAAGCAGCTTAGAGACCTGCGCAGGAATCCCATGAATTATCATCCCCTCTGCATAAGAGGTACAAACAACAGATGTAGTGAAGGCTACCCCCATGTTAACATTCAGTAGGAAGGGAGATGTTGGAGGATGGCCACACCTCTAGTCTAGCTATGTCATACACCATGGAAGAGGGCAGGGGTGAAATAGTGAGCATTTGCCCATCTCATACTCTCGTGCCTTGCCTTTACTTCACAGAAGTGGACTATGCTGGATTGGATCTGACAAGGTACCCTGCAAGAAGAATAGGGAAAGGTTTGTTTTGTTGATCCCAGAATTTGCCAGCCAGCATGGCCAGTGGCTACAGCTGACAGAAGGATTCTGAGTTCTGCATTAAAAAGAAAAAGAAAATAACTTTCCTTGCTCTGCTGGTAGGGCTGTAGCATGAGCAGGAAAGGCTGTGGGCAGAAGACACTTTCCCATGGATATGGGTGATGTGTGCAGGGTAAGCGATCGCCTCATCTAGGAAAGAAAAGAATTTGCTTCTTGCCTCTTGTTTTGTTTTAAAAGCAAGGTTGGAGAACCTCTTTCAGTCCAAAGGCCAAATGCAAGTTCAGAAAAGTGCTCCAGCCCATACTGTAGCTGTGGGTGTGGCAAAAAGTTGGGGCTGGCAAACACTGGTATACTTTTGATTAAATCTTGTACAGTATATCCACTAATGACACTTTAGAGGAAGTATCCAGTATGGTGTAGTGGATAGAGTGATGGACTAGGACTCAGCAGTCCTGGTTTTGAATCCCGGCTTGGCCATGGAGGTGGGGGCTGGCACAGTTAAAACCATGCTTAAATATCTCACTTACCTTGAAAACTCTATTACAGTCGTGATTAAGTTGGTTCTCTCTAGACAACACATAACACATACCTTAGGGGAGGCATTTCTGCCTTTGCAATGGAAAATAATAGATAATTGGGAAACTACTAAATAATGGTGCCATAGGAAGATAGTTCTGGCCATCAGGGAAACCCCAGACAACAAACCGGATTCAGCCCCAGTTCCCCACTTCTGTTTCCTTTCAACAACAGGGTGTGGAACAGGAGCACTGCTGTCCTAAGAAAAAAAGAAGCAACTTTTGATGCTTTTCTTTTGCTAGGTATTTACACCCCACTTTTAACCTTGCAGAGAAGGCCCTCAGAAAGGTTAGCTGGGAAGTCTGCTTCTTCTCAACTCCGATCCAGTAAAAGGACTAAAAGGACTATCTTGGATAAATTCTGAACTGACATTCTTACTTGAAAGCTTTCAAGCAGGGTTCTGGAATGTGCTCCTTGTCAAATTTCTTCAGAGAATCTAGAAAAGTATCCACTTTGCCCATCATGCCTTTTGCTGCCTTCCAGCTTCTGTCCTTTGGTATCTTGCCACCGGGCGCTGTAAGGATCATGACTGCTGCTGTCACATTAACCACAGCTTCTGGAGGAGAGCCAAAAGACTTCAGTTCTGTCAGGTTGTTCTAAGAAGAGAGAAAGGAAAAGGTAGAAGGAAACAGGCAGACGTGGGAGACACATTTTTTGAACTTCCAGTGTACTTTAGGGCACTTAGCTAGCTATATACAGAGAACTCTGTAACAAAGTAACAAATATTCATTGAGCATAGAGCCCAAGTGAAGCATATCTAATGGACACCTGTCACAAATACTACCCAAACTTAGAGGCTCTAGCTAGAGATGGTACCCCTATAGATTTTCAGTTCTCCAAGATTGTGAGGATGTCATGTCAAGTACTTTTGGACTTACAGGTACCTATTTCAAGAATTTGGGGTCAGCTTCCAAATATTATCAGGAATCCTCCATTTGCAAAATATACAGGACCTGGAGATGGTTATCAAGAGGGGTATCAAGCATTTCATTAATGGTCCTGATACAAATCAACCTTCAGCAAGGACAAAATAAAGTACACAGAAATGTGCTAAAAGGCCCCAAATGGAAGAGAGAGAAAAAAGAAGGAAGGAGAAAGAGAAAAAGAAAAGAGAAAGAAAAAGAAAGAAAATAGAGAAAAAGCAAAATATTGTGGCGCTTTGAATACTATCAGATTTACTTCCACTTGTTATATATTAAAATTCAGTTCGTCAGACACAGGGAATTCAAACATGTCTTCTATATTTATATACCTCTCCATGACCAGGTAAGGATGCAGACAACAAACAAAATGACAGAGGCTCATTATTAGTGCAGGCATGAGACTATCAAGTTGTTGATTACTTAAACTAGCAGGTACTGGCCAGGGTGATAACCTGCATGCCAGGTAGATTTGGCTTCCAAGGCCTTCTTACCTTGTTGAGTGTGTCCAGTGCTTGCTGAGCAGCTATCAGTGCAGGTTCTGCTTTGGCCAGATCAGTTTCACAAGCCCGCTGTTTTTCTGATACATTCTGGTGGCAGCAGCAGCGGTTGGGAGGAAGCAATTCCCAAGATGATGTGAATAGTTAATAAAACCACTTATGCAAATATACAGTTGTATATTTTACTTTGTAAAAAAAAACCCTGGTTTTTTGTGTGTGAAAAACCCACTTTCTTCAAGATCCTCTTCTCATTTGTTGAGGCCCATTTTCACAGGTAATGCTGAGAAAGGGAGAGTACACTTATAAGCAATGTGAAAAACCAAATGTACATTTGGGAACATGGTCCTACTGGGCAATTTCAGAACCCTGGCTGTAGGCAGTGGAGAAACTGTGTAGTTAGAAAGCTTGCTAGATTATGAGGACTGCCAAGAAGGGAGAAGCAGGCAGTGCAGAAATCCAAAATAATGGAGAAGATGGTGGCCCTGAAGAGATTAAAAGCAAGGATGGCTCTGCTCTGTCATGCAAGCAGGCTTGGAGGGGCGGGCATGTGATGTGCTGCATTTTCCAGCACTTCTGTGCCAACAGAGTTCAGACATAATGGGACTAATGGACAGAAGGTTTTAAGTGCAAGTGAAGGTCAATGGAAGTGCATTAAGGCAAACTTGTCAATGGTGCTAGCCTTGAATGTTACAAACAATCACCCCATGTAAAAGGCACGGATCTTTTTCTTTCTTTTTAAAATTTATTTATTTATATATATTTTTGCATTGCAGTCACTCACTAGAAGCAGTGCTGCCTAACAGGACCGGAACTAGCAGCAGCTAACTAAGGACCAGCCTGTGCTACATAGTTGATATGTGTGAAACAAACCTAGGGTGCATTATATGTCAAATACAGTAAGTCCTGGGTTTGTATGCTTGAAATCATTTTAAGCATATCCATTTACACAACGTTCAGCTAAATGTGCATTTTAGGTGGGAAAGTGGGATATTTTAAACAGCCTTGAGGGAGCTGTTTAACTCAATTATGAATGTGATTTATTTTGAATCATTTCCTCATATATGAATGCCTCTGTCAGAGCAAATTGTGTCAGTGTTGATGCTGCTGCCCGCGCCAATGAAGGGCTGCTGAGTATGTTCTCACGCACACATACTGCTGAGGAACATGGGAAGAGAGATGGTGGCTGGTGACAAATCCGTAAATGCAAAGGATTAAAACGAGTCCAAACAGGACGCACACCCCAACAAAAAAACTATGTGACTACCACATGAATTTAAATTGATTCCAAACACCCAGATTTAGCTCCTGGTTTGTTTTCAGCGCCATGGTAAGCATGGCACGATTGCTCTACTGGCAAGATGTACTTCCTGTAAGGAATTAGCTAGTCTGACAGAAATGGCACATACCGTGTTAATGACCTGGACTTTCAACTCCTCTTCATCAGCAATTGCTTTCTCCCTGCTCACTTTCTCTGTTTCAACCCCCACCACCTGGATCAGCTTGTCGGCATCTTCATTCTTTTGCTTGAGCTCCAGCTCTTGTACAGCCAGTTTGGCCTTCAGGTCATCAACCTACAGTACAAAGTGTACCCAGAGGGAAGGTGGGAAGAACCTTCTAAAGATGAGCCAAAACAATGTGTGTGTTTGTGTTTGACAAGTTTCACCTCTCTCTGTCTCTCGTATTCACTCACACAAGCGCACACATACACACAAAGTGAAATTCATTGTCCTGTTTGGTGACATTTCCACAGACCTAACAAATATTTTGCCCATTGAGAATGTGGGTAGTATGCATTGATTTCACACTGATTTGGTCTCATAACATCATACAATAAAATTTAGCAGTCTCCGTACAATCAGGATAAGCAAAAATAATCCACTTCCCCTGACTGATTTGCTTTCTGCTGTTGCTTGTCTGCAGTTGTCATTGTGGTAAAGACTTGCTTCTGTCTAGCCGTGAGATGGCATGACATCAACATGCTGTCTATCTCATCCTTGACTGTGTGGATAACTTCAGAGAGAACCCTTTACTTCAAAGGGGGGGGGGGAAGTACCAAGAACGCAAATCAGGGGAAAAGCAGAAAACTGTGCGCAAACATTTAAGCAAGTGTGTGAGTGTGTGAAACTTTTGTCCCCCCCAAGTGAAACTTCTCTGTCTAAAAACATTTCATGGATAAAAATTTAACATAGCTAACACTCAGTAAACTTTTATAAAATAAAGAAACCCACATTGTCTTAAACATTGTTAGTTGGTGTACAAAAATAAAGAAAAAAACATATACTGTATATGCAATAAATCTTGTCCTCCTGTTAGAGAGATCACCTTAAGCACCCCTGCCACATTCTCCAGATCAGATGGAGCAACTAAGAAAAATCTCATTGCAAATCCACACTTAGTGTTTGCTCTTATTTAAGCTGTGATTCGGTTGCCCATTGATTTGGAATACTTTAACAAATCTGCATGGCATTAGTAAAGACTTGAATTAGTCCTTTCCTCTTTCCTTCTGCTTCTTGATTACTTTCCCTCATTTGGGAACTTGTTTTGTTGTGTAGCCTAGTAGCTTCCAGATCTATTATCCCAAACTGTTCCTTTGTATCAAACAATCCTGGATTTGTGGCTGGGGGGTGGGGAGCTCTGGGTGTGTGTACCTACAATTAGAATGCCCCTGGCATCAGTTGTGGTGTCATCTGTGGGAGTTTTGTCCTCAACACAAATCAGGGCTACCTCTCTGATGAAGCAAAGGGCAAAAAGTAGCTGTGCTGGGGATTTTTCTCCCCAGCACAGCTACTTTTTGTCCTTTACTTCATGCCTGCGGGATTAATATAACACAAAATTTCATCCTGCAAGGAAAAAAAAAGAATCAATTGCTCTAAGGTCTACTTCCATGTATCCTACATCTTTCTTTCCATCTGAGTTTTGGGAGGAATTTCCCCCTCTGTCATTGTCCATAAAAGGGCAGGGCTCCTTTCCAAAGAGTGGAGACAGGTCTGTGAATGGATATGGCATGAGAAGGAAGAAGGGGAGTGTTGGAAGAAGAAGAAAGAGGACATCTTATAGTGTGGAGGCTCGGCTTGGATTACATTCAAGGAAAAATCAAAAGAGGTATGGATGGTTCAAGTGAGACATTCTAGATCTAGGGGATCATAGCTCCAATCCACATCAACCTGAGCCACACAACTTACATGAATGAGCAGTAAGACATGGTCTGTCTTGTGTGCATTACAGACTCTGATTAGCTATACAGTACTAGCTTTCACTCCTATGTTTTCTTCTGCTCTGCAACTAAGGACATATTTGGGGGGGGGGAGTGAACTTTGGAGAGATGATACAGGCAGGAAAGTGAACCTTCCCTGTCTCAGCTTGACAATCATAGTCCAAAGTGGGTTCTTGCATGGCTGCTCAGATTCCAGCAAGGCCCAAATTTGGACTTCAAATCGGGTCCCTACATGGCTGTAACTCAGATGGGTTCCTCAAGGCTGCAATCATAGTGACAAAGTACAATTCAAACAACACTCCAAAATAATTTAAAGATCTTGTATAGAACAGATTTGTACTGTTAAATGTGATTGGCCATGAACTAGAAGAACTGAAACCAGACATGTCACCAGCGAGAAATGCAAACAGATTGTAATTAAAAGAAAATACTCAGTAGATGACTAAGTAGATCCTTAAAATTGTAAACGACATATTAAAAGCAAAAGGAAGGAATGACAGGCACAGGGTCAGAATCCTAAATGTATGCACATACAAAGAAAAAGAACAATAATTTCTAAGAAC